CCTTACTCATTTAACTGTAACCCCTCTGTACAGCATCTTTATGATAAAATAAAATTTTAAAAAATTGCTTTTCCTGAGAAGTGCTTTAATAACTTCTAATCACATCATGTCTTTGTTGCTGCACTAAGAAGAAGGGAAACAAAGAGCCAAGAAGGGACTTGGGAGCAAGATATCATTGCTCTTTCTGTTCATTTTGAAAGGAAGAGAAAAAGAATGAAAACAGAAAAGTCACTGTACAGACACTGAATACGTCTCTACAAAGCTACAACTGTGCATTTCCTACAAAATAATCACAAAATCCCCCACAGTCCCATTGGGAACAGGAGTTCTAAGGTGCTATTGCATGGAAGGACAACTCTAGACAGGCATAATATTCTGTACATTTCCAGAAACCATAAGGAAAGATTTTTTTTAATCACAGGACAATGAGAAATGTTTGAGAAGATACATAAGTTTCACTTGATGTCAACATTACACAATGTGGCTAAGCATGGTGGCCTATGTCTATAATTCCAGCACTCAGAAGGCAGAGATCGGATGATGGGAAGTTTAAGGCCAGCCTGCACTGCATAGTGAGTTCTAAGCCAGCCTAAGCTACTTAGGAAGACATTATCTCACAAAATACACTAACGAATGAACACACTAGCCAACCTGTAAGTATCAAAGCATCCTATTACTGCATTGATATTCATATAGTTTTTATATCTGTTAAGAAATAATTTTTTAATGCACAATTATTAAAACATTTATCTAGAACACCTTTCACAAATATCAAAGTCTGCCAGAAGAGTCACAATAGACCTGCACATGGAAATAGGAGCTGCTTTCTCTATCTGGATACGATTCCGATGAGCAGCAATTCTAGAAGAGCTCAAAACAAATTATGGAAAAAGCCAGCATCGGTGGCTCACACCTGTAATACTCACTACTCAGGAGGCTGAGATCTGACGATGGTGGTTCAAAGCCAGCTGGAAAGTCTATGGGCAGGAAAGTCTATGAAACTCTGATCTCCAATAAACCACCAGAAAACCGGAAGTAGTGCTGCGGCTCAAGTGGTAGAGTGCTCACTTTGAGCTGAAGAACTGAGGGACAGCACCCAGGCCCAGAGTTCAATCCCCACAACAGACAAAAACAAAAACAAACAAACAAAAAAACCCACACACACTATGGAGCCTAATCATCAGTAGTAAAATCTTCTCTTTCTTTTTTTTTTGTCAGTCATGGGGCCTGAACTCTGGGCCTGGGCGCTGTCCCTCAGCTCTTCAGCTCAAGGCTAGAGCTCTACCACTTGAGCCACAGCGCCAGTTCCGGCTTTTTTCTTTTTGCTTCTGTGGTGCTGAGGAATCGAGCCCAGGGCCTCAGGCATGCAGGACAAACGCTCTACCATGGAGCCACCTTCCCAGCTGTTCTCTCTTTCTTTTTCTCTCTGAGGACCACACTTTAAATGACATAAGTGAAGTGAGAAAGTACATCTTTCACAGCCAGCTGTGAACCAGCATCAAGGCTGGTAAAAGATAGCTGCCACTCTCTAAAGACATGATCTTGGGCGAAGGCAAGGCCTAGGAGCTCGGTCAGGGACAGCCCTGAGGGATCAAAGGCCGGATCACGTGATTGGGAAGGCCACAGTGCAGCCTATGTGAGAAAATGAGAGTGGATCTTTTCATCAGCACTGCGCATACAAGCTAATCTAATCCAGTGAAAAAGAATCGTTATTCTCATGTGTCTAAGTTGTAAAATGCTGTAAGCGCATAAGAGGGGAGGAATGTTCTGCTGCTGTATAAAATACGGTGGCACATGCCTGCCATCCCAGTTTTAGTGGTGTAATAATTTGATGAGTCCAAGTCAGAAAAAGGCATATTTAATCCCTAACTTCTCCATCAACACCCCAAACATTACCAGAAAGTTTAGAGCAGCTAAAAGTGATAGGAAAGTTTACTAGAAAATAAATATGGCAGAGAAAGAGAGCATGTGGCATAGACATGCCAAGGGGGAAGATGGCAGGTTAGCTTGTCTCTGCCACCCTGGCCATCTTCTTTGTTAGAGCCCGGCCATGGGTGGAACAGTAAGAATTGGATGGCTTTCTTATTGGCAGCCATCTGTTTCCTATAAGGTTGTGACACCAAAAGTTTATTGTCCCGTCCTTGTTTGTTCATGCTTTTATACGTCTTACTTCCTCTTTTTTTTTGTAGCCCCCCCCCCGCCCCCATTTCACTGTCAAGCAAGTTTTAGTTCATCGGCTTATCCTGCCATCTGCAGGCTGTAGAAGCCACCATTCCCTGCTTTCCTCTTAACCTGTATCAATGGAAAGCCTAAAATAAGCGGATTGCAGTCCAGTCAGGCACCTGGGCCAGAAGCAAAAAAAGGCTGTGAGGCCCTGAGATCAAACTTTACACTGCAAATAAAAAGAAGGGAAGGAGGAGGAGGAAGAGGAAGAGGAGAAGGAAGAAGAGGGGGAGGGGGAGGGGGAGGAGGAGGGGGAGGGGAGGGGAGGGGAGGGGGGAGGGGAGAGGAAGAGGGGTGAGGAGGAGGGGTGAGGAGGGGGAGGAGGGGAGAGGAGGGGTGAGGAGGGGTGAGGAGGAAGAAGAAGGAGGAGGAGGAAGAGGAGGAGGAGGAGGAGGAGGAGGTGGAGGAGGGGGAGGGGGAGGGGGAGGGGAGAGGAGGAGGGGTGAGGAGGAGGGGTGAGGAGGGGGAGGAGGGGAGAGGAGGGGTGAGGAGGGGTGAGGAGGAAGAAGAAGGAGGAGGAAGAGGAGGAGGAGGAGGAGGAGGAGGAAGGAGAGCAGGGGCGAAATAGAAACCAGGGACAGTGTTGGGTGATTATAGAGTCCATGAGTTACTTTCTTGATGCAAGCTTTGGCCATACTTTGGTCATATTTGCTCTTTTGAGAATGTGTGTTAGGGGAAGAGAATGCAGGGGGGAAAAAAAAAACAAGGAAAGAGGGAAAAAACTCAAATAAATGTTCCAGCATAAGCACCACGGAGATGAAAGAGCTCTTTTGGTTCCCCCATTGGGAAGTTCAGTCTGAAGGCTACTTAGGACCCCAAGGACACCATATTGGCCTTGACCTTGGCATGTCTCCCTTAGAGACAGACAAGGATGTGGTCCTTGAGAAATATAGATTCCATTCTTATTTTTAAATTGTGTGTCTCTATCTCCCTGCCTTCTCTCTTTTTGAGGTTCTGAGATTTGAACTCATGACCTCACACTTGCTAGAGAGGTGCTTTAACCACTTGAACCAGGACTCTATACCACCTGTTCTTTCAAAGCGACACAAGGACAACAATTTCCGTGAATGCTGAGGTGGGGGGGGTCGGGGAGGAAGATGGAGATGGAAAGCATTTTTTGCTGGGGCAAAGAGAGGAATTGTTGCTGCTGGAGTGACAGCAGGACATAGGCAGAGAGACAATTCTCCTTCCCCGTGCCTTCCAATCCCTACTATGAGGTAGAACAGAAAGCAAGTGGGCCAACATGTCCCTGCAGAGTCCCCGCCCAGCGTCACAAGGCCAGCCTGGGCAGCCAGCCCACAGTGAGGAAGCTCTGCCGTTACTATGCGAAAGATGCACTTCTAAAGATAATTAGGGAAAAGCCCATCACCATCTCACCACCAAAAGCGCACGACAGCTTTGCTCAGTCCTCCAGGTAAGGTGAATGGTTCCAGAAAGCCAGCCATTTCCCCTCTAGCTTTACAGGGCCTTCTAGGACCAAGGAAACCAGAGAGAGCAGGAGTAGCAATATGGCTCATGCTTAGGGCGACTAGGCTAACTCTGAAGGTCACAGCAGGGTCCTGCATCCAAAAGCAGATCCAAATGCCTGGGCTTTTACAGACAACACCCAGACCCCCATTGCCCCCAGGTTGCCTTTGTCAAAAGTAACATCTAGGGCCAGGCATCTGTGGCTGACACCTGTCATCCTAGCTACTCAGGAGGCTGAGATCTGAAGATTACAGTTTGAAGCCAGCCCAGGCAAGAAAGTCTGTGAGACTCTTATCTCCAATAAACTACTCAGAAAAAGCTGGAAGTGGTGCTGTGCCTCAAGTGGTATAGTGCTAGCCTTGAGCAAAATTGCTCAGGTACAGTATCCAGGCCCTTAGTTCAAGCCCCAAGACCAAAAATAACAACAAAAAAGTGACATGTAAAGTTAATGTGGAGCTACCTTTGGCAAAGGGAGTATTCCGGATGACATAGATTAGCATCCTATTATAATCTATTTGAGTCCTACTATCAATGATCTTCAAATTCTGCTGCAGATTAACTCTAAGCAAGTCACTTTCTCCAATAGAATATATTGGAGTGATTTGGTCTCTATATGGATATTATATGTTAAGAAAATCTTCACTGAGAGCATGCTTTCTCCCCCTGAAGCTTCAAAAATGAGAGGCCTTGTCCCTCCGTAGAAATCTCACAGACAGGGCTGGGAAGGTGACTCAGTGGTAGAGCACTTGCCTTGCATGCATGAGGCCCTGGGTTCGATTCCTCAGCACCACAGAGGAAAAAAGCCGGAAGTGGTGCTGTGGCTCAAGTGGTAGAGCGCTAGCTTTGAGCTGAAGAGCTGAGGGACAGCGCCCAGGCCCAGAGTTCAGGCCCCACGACCGGACCCTAAAAAAAGAAAAGAAAGAAAGAAATCTCACAGTCAAATGCAGAAGGCACAGAGGTAGAGAAATCTCAAACTCAGGCTTTTATTTTATAATGAGCAAGGACAGGACCATGCTTATATTTCTAGAGAATCCTAAAAAACATACCCGAAGTCTCTGAGTTCCCCCCTCTCCAAGTTTCCAAATACGGACTCAAAGCCTGAGACTTAAAACCCTCTGCATACCCTCCCAGTGCCAAGATCAGATGCCCAAGTTGCAACCAACAGATGGAGGTTTCGCATGGGTACATTTTTACCTATCTGTCTGGTTCAGTGACCATCTCTCTGCCCCCACCGCCAAAAGGGCAATAAAACTCTCGATCAGATTCTCACTGCACACAACGTTCTGGATTCCTGGCATCTACTGCCTTCTTCATCCCCAAGGATCATGAGACTTCTGTTGCTGACTCTTACCATCCTTGCATTCCTGCCCCAAGTGACCCCAGGTAATCAGAACCCATCCCCACTCCCCACCCCTCCCCACCTCCAAGCTACAGAAATGAAGATAGAATGGGGATCCTGGCCCATGGAATATTCCAGTATGGAACGGTTGTCTCCCACCTGAGCACCTCTGTAGGTTCCATATTGGGATTATAACCTGACAGGAGTAAGGCAAGCCATCCTCACTAGACAGGAGGATCTAGAGTTGTCTGTGGTCCCCAGCTGCCATCTAAGGTATCCGAGTGAGAGCGTGACTTGCTTCTTGACTTGATTCTTACATATTGAATGATTCCCAAATCTCGAGTCCCTATGTCTTCTTGGCTTGAAAGTCTTGTGGTAGCTTGCAATTAAGTCTCGTTGTTGGCAATTTAACATCAAGTCAGAAAATATCTTTATGTGGAAATAGAATGGACTTTTCTTCTCTTTTCTAATGGTAAAATCTAAGCTTTGATCACTACTGCATTTTTAAATATACCTAAAGGCACAACCAGAACTTTGAGCTTGAAGAGGATCTGTTACCCCACCCCCATTCTTTCTTGTATATCTTTCAGGACACATTTCAATGTATGGTCAAACCCAACATGGAAATGAGTCCAGATATTGCTGTTCCATAGAAAGAAAATATGATGACAAAGAGTCCTTCTTTCATTTAATATATTGTGGCTATCTTCCCATATCCCTATTTAAGATCTGCCTCATTCTTTACAAGTTTGTAAAGTTCCAATGTGAGAAGAACTGTTAATGTATGTATAGGAATTTAGAACATTTCCTAATGTCATATCTGTGAACCTACATGTTCAAGTACATTTACATCTTTTGGCAAGAATTTAAGCAGATATATTTCTAGAAGTGAAATAGTTGGGTTAAAAAGTTTAAAAATTCATTCCAAGCTGGGCACTAGTGGCTCACATCTATAATCCTAGCTACTCAGGAAGCTAAGATCTGACCACCGAGGTTCAAAACTAGCTCAGGCCAGAAAGTCTGTGAGACTCTTATCTCCAATTAACCACCAAAAAGCTGGAAGTAGAGCTGTGGCTCAAGTGGTAGAGTGCTAGCCTTGAGCACAAAAACTCAGGGACAATGCCTAAGCTCTGAGTTCAAGTCCCAGGTCTTTTGTTACTACTCTTCTTATCTAGTTTTTATTCTTTCCTACGTTAGTTAATTTCTGATTACAAGGGAAATTTTATCCTAGTTTGTTGATTTTGGCTAGAAAACATAGAAGGTATGCTACTGAACATTGAGGTGTTCTCAATGTATTTTTATGGCCTGATAATTTACTACAGAATGTGGAATCTTAGACCAGCAATATTGGCATCTTTTAAAAATGTGTTAGAGAATGTAGAAGGGAGGCCCTGCCCTGTTAGTTGAATACAATCTGTCTTTTAGCAAGACTTCTATGCACATGAGTGCTTGAGAAGCATCAGCCCAACCCCCATGTGAGTATCTCATAGAAATGCCTACATTAGTCCAAGGTTCTAGTTAATGTTCTATTTCTTAATTAACATGCAGGTACATAACTATTCCTTGTCTTATGAGTCTCTACACTACACAAATAATATATGCCCATGTGTATATACGTTTTGTAGTAGAATGTATGCAAAGAAATTGAACAAATACAAATAACTTAATTACAGTAACCATATTAATTTCTTTATGTGGGTAGCTTGACATAACACCCAGGTCATTTCATTAGAATTCACAATACATATACACACATACACACACCACCACCACCACCACCACCACCACACTTTTTTTTTTGTCGGTCATGGAGCTGAACTCTGGGCCTGGGTGCTGTCCCTGCACTCTTCAGCTCAAGGCTAGTGCTCTACCTCTTGAGCCACAGCACCACTTCCGGTTTTCTAGTGGTTTATTGGAGATCAGAGTCTCACGGACTTTTCTGCTCAGGCTGGCTTTGAACTGTGACCCTCAGATCTCAGCCTCCTGAGTAGCTAGGAATATAGGCGTGAGCCACTGGTATCCGGCAACACTACACTTTCTTAAGAACATTGTTTCTTTCCATTGATGATAAACATCCACCTCACTTTCAGAAAAGTTCAACATGATCAAGTGGGAGGTCAGGACTAGAAGTCTGGGCAAACATGCCCAAACTTAGAGATTTGCATCCAGAATCTTAGTATGAACCTCAATATTATTATAGGATGACAGACATCCAGTTGTGTGGTAACACAGAGAACATCAGTAACCTAAAATCAGTGGTCTTTCCTTTGATCATTTAGCCTATAGTGGTGAAAAGAAATGCTTGAGCAAATCGGGACACTGCAGGAAAAAATGTCAACATGGAGAGATGCCATGGGAACTATGTAAGAACCATCGAATCTGCTGCATTTCGACCAGTCAAGCCTTTAGAATCAGGAAGCTTATTCAGAAAACAACCACAGCCTTCTATGATTTTTCCTTTATATCAACCTCCACAATCATGTTCGATGATATGAATCCATCAAGCCCTGAAACGTTCTACGGGAACGAGCAGACAACCCCCACGACATTCTTTGATTTTACAGATACAACGAAAATGATTCCCGCTACAGACAACTTTGAAGCAGAAAATTACAATGGGGAAAAATCTGACAAGAAGCTTGCGACTCAAACCCCTGTCCCAGCGATTCATCATAGCTCATCATAGGTGGCTGTCACTTGAGTATGTTGTGAGAGATGGACAAAGTCCTACAGATAACTGATGATTTTGATTATTCTGAAAATACCATGACCCACTCTTTTCCCCACCAAAGTGTAATTCTAGATCAAAGTAGTTGTGTAAGAGTTTCAAGTGTTCACTATTTTCAATAATAAACTCTTCAAGGCTCTTCTTAAAATGTCAAATCTCTTCCACAACAAGATTTAGCCCATTTTTTTTAGGTTCCTTATTTGCCAGTGGCCTTAATCACCTAGGTAAAGTATAGCATCCCTGAGTTTTCATTGTGCCCTGCTGTTTTCCCAACAAACGTTTGGGAATAGCAGAGTTATTCCTTGTGTGTCATGCTTTTGGATAAAAGTAGAACTGGAGAAAGCCAAAATTCTGAATACTTACCTCATGGCAATATGTACTGATATCGGGGTGGGGGGAAGCTTTATAATTCAGCAAACACCTCCCACAAAAGCATCCAATTTCCTATTATGTGACTTTGACCTACAACCCTGTCTCATAACCTGCTTATAGGAAATCAACTGGCCCACATATAAGCTATGAGATCTTTTTGTCTGGTTGGTTTTTTTGTTTTGTTTTGCTTTGCCAGTCCTATGCGCTGTCCCTCAGCTCTTCCGCTTAAGGATAGTGCTCTAGCACTTGAGCCACAGCGCCACTTCCAGCTTTTTCTGTTTATGTGGTGCTGAGAAATCGAACCCAGGGCCTCATGCATGCAAGACAAGTACTCTACCATTGAGCTACCTACCCATCCCTGTTTGGGTTTTTTTCTGGTCATTATTTCAAGATTGGAATAGAAGGAATTCAAATGCTGAAAAGACATTTATTTGACCAAACCTTGATCACATATATACATCCAAGTATAGAGCTGGGCTGGGCTGAATAGAGCTACAGCTCAGGAATAGAGAATCTGCCTACCAAGCATGAGGTACCCCAGTACCAACATTTTCCATTTTCTGTGACCCCTCAACTGTGGATGAAAAGATGGATCATTTGTCTGTTAGATTATCTATTAGATTTGTCTATTAGAGAATTCAATATACCTCCCATATAAAAATATCTTCGACCCTGACTCCTTTGAAAGAGGCCCATCCACATAACTACCACAGGCTTCCTTGTTACCCATGGCCCATCCACATAACTACCACAGGCTTCCTTGTTACCCATTTCTAACCTTGCTCTTTTCATGTCCCTCAGTGTCCATCCAACCCATTTCCATTCTCTGTGAGAGCCATACCTTAGGTGATCCTCCCTTCTACCGGAAGAATGCCCCTAATCATTTTCAGATTGACCTCTACATCGGGATACAATGGAACATTTCTTTTTTTTTGGTCTGTCGTGGGGCTTGAACTCTGGGCCTGGGCGCTGTCCCTCAGCTCTTCAGCTCAAGGCGAGCGCTCTACCACTTGAGCTACAGTGCCACTTCCACAATGGAACATTTCTGTCTGTCTAGCACCTGCATATTATGCTGACCACTTCAAAAATCTGACTTTGTTTTCTCCCCTCCCTCACTAGCTAGACATAGGAACTTCTCATGATACATTTAGTATGGGATGAATGATATGGGTGCCATAAGTGACTGAGGATCAACCTCTCTGGCCTATGCAACCTCTCCGGCCTGTCCAAGACTAAAAAAATTTAGTCTTGGACAGACCATTTCCACCTAACATGGGAAGGCTTCTTCACAATTCTGTTATTATTCAAGGAGTTTAGATGATGCTCAACATGTGATGGGAAATTTGGGCTTAATGAATTTATTGTTTTCAGGCTTGTCTACTATTCTTGATAATTTTGATATCCTCATCTTTGTCTCTAGCCTGAAGTCTTCGCTGGCCTTAATTTTTTTTCCTTGTGCATTTTGTGATTTGGGATTCTGATCTGTGCATTTTTCTTGGAATTTTCTTCTCAATAAATTGGTTCATTTGTAAGTTAAAATATACTACTCACCAGAGTATATCAAGTAGACAAATGATCTATCCTTCTACTCACAACTGAACTACTCTGTAGTTCCATTTTCTTTTATTGGTACCAGGGTACCTCGCAGTTGCTAGGCAGTTATTCCACTGATGAACTACACCTCCAGCCCACCCATCCATGAGTATGTTCACATGTGTTCCAGGCTTAGTAAAGAAAAAAAAAGGGATTGGGGCTGGGAAGGTGGCTCAGTGGTAGAGTGCTTGCCTTGCATGCATGAGGCCCTGGGTTCGATTCCTCAGCACCACATAAGCAGAAAAAAATGGAAGTGGCGCTATGGCTTAAGTGGTAGAGCACTAGCCTTAAGCTGAAGAACTGAGGGACAGTGTCCAGGCCTAGAGTTCAGGCCTCATGACCAACCAAAAAAAAAAGGGGGATTGTGGCACCAGCCTGTCCATTGATTCTATTCTAGTCTTGAAACAATAAATTAGGATCTTTATGGTTTTAAAAAAAAGGCGGAAAACTGGGCACCAGTGGCTCATGCCTATAATCTTAGCTACTTAAGAGACTGAGATCTGAGGCTCACAGTTCAAAGCCAGCCAGGGCAGGAAAGCTCGTGAGACTCTTAACTCCAGTTAACCACCAGAAAACCAGAAGTGGTACTGTGGCTCAAGTGGTAGAACGCTAGCCTTGAGAGAAAAAGCTCAGGGACAGCACCCAGGCCCTGAGTTCAAGCTCTATGACTGACCAAAAAGAAAAAAGAAAGAAAGAAAAAACCCACTGATCTCTTTTTGTGATTTCCATGGATAAAAATCAGATGAGTGTAGGCATGTTAATGAGGGTGGCTGACAGCAGGTTCCCCAGAGAGTTTGAAGATAGTGATCACCAGCATTCAAGATATTTGGGGACCAGTAGGTCTCATAAGACTAATTAGTATCTTCATCTTTGCTTAAAAAGCGTATCAAGTAGCATGGATGATGATTTGTGCAACAGAAGTAGGGCTCTTCATTTCATCCTTTCTCCAAGAAGGGTTCTAACAGGCTGAAGGCACATTGGCTGAGTGCAGAGGCACCAGGCCAAGAACACCTCCGTGACGGGTCACTGAGGCAGAGTGCAGTGGCACGCACTGGAACACAGTGATCCTGGCCCTTATCCAAGATCATGATGCAGAAATAGCTATACTTGTGGGGGGGGAGGGGGGGTATGATTGGGTGGGGGGGAGGGGGGAGGCTGGGTATGGAGGTGAAGGGTAAACAAAGGAGGAGGCTGCAATGCTTGGTAAGAAATGTATGCATTATCCTGCCCATGTAATTGTAACCCCTCTGTACAGTATGTTCTCAAATAAAATAAAATTAAATTAAAAAAAAAAAAAAGAAATAGCTATACTTAAGCAGGTCACTCATGTAATGCTTAGCTTGTGGTTGTCTGCCTTGTTTTAGAATAAGGAGCTTATCTAAGCATCATGAGTTATGACCAAAATTCACTGCCTTTCCTACTTACATCATGCTGGATAATAGTGTAGCTAGGGGCCTTTGCCCTGTGAGATGAACTATCCCCTGGTCCCCCCACTTTGATTTTTCTTGAGACTATCTTTGTGTCTTTGTCATACAACTCTATGCCCCTTCTAGGTACCTAAACGTCCTGCCACTGTTGAATACAGCAGTTGCCCATGTATCAAAGGATGTAATGTCTCCCTGGCCAGGAAAAGAATAAGAATAATTCATTTCCTCTCAGCCAAGCTATAGATCTGACTAGACAAGGAGCATAGTTTAAAACTTCATGAGGCTGGGCGTTCATGCCTGTAATCTTAGCTGAGACCTGAGGATTGTGGTTCAAAGCCAGCCTGGACAGAAAAGTCCCCAGGAGACTCTTATCTCCATTTAGCCACTCACAAACCAGAAGTGGAGCTGTGACTCAAGTGATAGAGTGCTAGCCTTGAGCACAAAGAGGCTCAGGGATAGCACCCAGGACCTGGGTTCAAGCTCCACACCTGACCCCACACACACAAAAAGAAGAATGCAACACCACTCAAGCACTACAGAAAAATAAGTTCCCTGCATATATAAGACTATATCCAGAAGTTAAATGCTATAAACTAAAGCATTCTGATAAAAGGCAATATTGTAAGATTTAAATAAACAAAAAGACATTGAATGTTTTCATTTTGTAAGATGTAACTAACAATCATATCAATTCTCCTCAGATTGATACACACATATAACACAATTCCTGTAAGACTCTCAGCAAAACTTCTTGTAGGTATAGACAATATTATTTTATTATCTTATCTGAGGAGAAATTTGCAAAAAAATAAAGAATAGTTAAGATAAATTTGAAAAAGATAAAACTTGGAAAAATCATTGTACCAGACTTCAAGATTTATTATGATAATAATCAAGACTGTGTGTATAGAAATGGTATGCAAATGGTATATAAATGAAGAGGAAAATGGAACAGGGTAGGGAAATCAGAGATAGCTCCACACTTGAACAGATGTATGTGTCTGTCTGTCTGTCTATCTATCTATCTATCTATCTATCTATCCATCTATCTATCTATCTATCTATCTTTTGGTACTTGGGTTTGAATTGAGGGCTTTATGCTTTCTAAGCAGGAATTCTACCTGGAGCCATATCTCCCAGCGCTTTTTGCTTTAGTTGTTTTTGAGGTAGTTTTGCTTCCCCCTTCTTCCCAGAGCTGCCCTGGACTGTGATTCTCCTATTTACACTTCTTGCCATAGCTAGGATGGCAGATGTTTCCTACTATACTTTCCTTTTTCTGTTGAGATGGGGGTCTCATGAACCCCTCCTGGTCTTGACTAGAATCTCGATCCTCCTGATCTCAGTTTCCTGAGTAGCTGGAAGGACAGATGTGTGCCACCACACCCAGCTTTTCTGGATTGAGAGGAGAATCTTACTGACTTTTTGTCTGGGCTGTCTTCAAACTGTGGTCCTCCTGATCTTTGTCTTCCTGAGTAGCCAGGATTATAGCGCTGCACCAGGCCTAAACCATTTTATATTGCTAGGTTATCCCTTTCTTGGTATTTTGGTAGAGAGAGCAGACATTTTTTAAATACACACATTTGTGCATTTGTGTTTCCAGATTAGCAGCTCCCCAATTCAACCTGGGGTAGATAAGGCAAAAACAAACCCAAGAGAAGTGTTGCTGTGGCTCAAGTGGCAGAGTGCTAGCGTTGAGCAAAAACAACTCAGGGACAGTGCCCAGGCCCTGAGGACTGGCATGCACACACACACACACACACACACACACACATTAAACTATCAGCCGGGCACCGGTGGCTCACGTCTATAATCCTAGCTACTCAGGAGGCTGAGATCTGAGGATTTTGGTTCAAAGCCAGCCCGTCCATGAGAATCTTATCTCCAATAAATCACTCAGAAAACTAGAAGTGGCACAGTGGCTCAAGCACTAGCCTTGAGCTGAAGAGCTGAGGGACAGTACCCAGACCCAGAGTTCAAGACCCACAACTGACAAAAAAAAAAAAAAAAAAAGATTAAACTATCAAGTCATACAACTTAGACAGATCTCAAGAATATAATGCTGAAGTTAAAAACTAAGCCCTCAAAAGGTCGCATGTGATTATTAATACAGCCCTCTTATAACGAAACACTCATAGGGATGGGGCAGGGAACATAGCCTAGTGGCAGAGTACAAGCTTAGAATGTGTAAGGTTTGGGGCTGGGAAGGTGGCTCAGTGGCAGAGCGCTTGCCTTGCATGCCTGAGGCCCTGGGTTCGATTCCTCAGCACCACATAAGCAAAAAGAAAAAAGCCCGAAGTGGTGCTGTGGCTCAAGTGGTAGAGCACTAGCCTTGAGCTGAAGAGCTGAGGGACAACACCCAGGCCCAGGGTTCAGGCCCCACGACTAGACCCAAAAAAAAAAGGATGTGTAAGGTTTTCGTCCTTAGCACTAAAGATGGGTAAGTAGGTAGATCAATAGGTAGACAGCCTGACAGACAGAAAAGTGGTTAAACACAATGACAGGATAAAGAAGGAAAATAAAGGAGTATCCAAAGTTTTACAGCTCTTAAACCCATCCTGCCATCTCCCCACCCCAAGAAGGAGCCATTTGTATATCTTTCTTTATGATTGATAGACATAAGAAGCCAGTTTGTTTGCTTTAATGAAAAGGTACGAATGCCTAAGTGTTTTCTATCCATGGGTTCTTTGTCTCTTCTTCTTCTTCTTCTGGGCTGTGGTGGGCATCTGCGGAGTGGTCCAATTGAGGACTCCATGGATTGTTACCGGCTGGATTGTTAGGTAACCACTGGGGACGCAGCACCGCTTACGATTTGCACAGCGTATGACACTGTCTTCATTATCCCTGCACACCAGCCGGCAGTGTCCATCCTTCCAACATTGTGCTGCAGGTATGGGAACAACCACGGAGCAAATGTTAGTATCACCCAAGTGGAGAGACAAGAAGAGGCAGGGGAGGTGCCGGAGGACAGGGGAAAGCAGAGAAAGGGAGGGGGGGGGGAGAAAGAGAGAGAGGGAGGAAGCAAGGGGGCGAGGGAGAGAGTGGGGGAGGGAGCAAGAGAGCACGCAGCAGTGAATAAGAAGAAGAAACCTTGAAGGAGAGAGACTGAATTGACTGCTCTAAGTTACCAACACCAGAGGTTCCAGGGAGACATTTTTGGACATTTCTCCCTCCTGTCTCCCTGGTCCCCAACTTCCCATTCACTATGTGGGGCTCAAGTGGTGCTCACAAAGGTCCCACCTATTGGAGTGGGAATAAAAATAATTGAAAAAGGACAATGTGCACCTGTCACTGTGGGAGTGGGGGAGGTTTGCTGTCCATACAACAGACCCAGCACATTCTTGATGACCCTGGAACAGAAACCCGCCAAGTCTCCTCTCTGGTCTCAACCCCATCTCCAGTCCTCCTTCACCTTGTAATACCCAATGCAAGCTCGAAACCTAGTCTGCTCCCAGCCTTACCACATTCAAGCCGGCTTGAGCCTCAACTCCAAGCCTAACCCAAATCGAATCAAGTCACCAACTGCAGTTCCCAGCTCTCTCTCAGCACCAAACTGCACACAAGCATCATCAGACCCCCGACTCAAAGTCTCAACCCAAGCCCAGCCCTCTAACTTTGCAGGCCCCCAGGAAATCCCAGGTCCCCATCTCCAGCTCATCTTCTTCCCTCTATACACCAACCTCAAGAGGCTCCCCCATCTCTTCAGCCTGATCTCCTAATAAGTTCCTTTCTCAAGTTTATTTACAAATTTCTCCTCAGACAAGGCAATAGAATAATCTTGTCTACATCTGTAAACGGTTGTGCTGAGGCGTCTCATAGGCATTGTGTTCAATGTATGTAAGGCTCCTCTACCCAATCCTTTGCCCCTAAGTCTACTCCTAAGCTCCCACCACCATGTTATGAAGCTTCAAACATTGAATTATCCCCATCCCATCACTTAGCAAAAGGGATCAGGGAAAGATAACCAATGTGGTAGGGTCTTGGAGAAGCCTCCCAAGGTTGTGTGAAATGATAGAGTTGGATGTTGCCTAATGAGAGGGAAGTGGAAGGAAATAAGGGAAAGGGAAGAAGCCCTGCTCTAAGATTCAGACTCTTGAGGGAGGCCAATTTACCTGACACCACTGGTTCCCTGGCCAGAAGGATGGCAAGAAACAAGAAAAGAAGCTTCATGGCTGGCTGCACTCAGGAGAAGGTAGCAGCTGCGCTACCAGGGTAAAAACAGAAAGTCTTAAGGAGAAGATGAGACTCCTTTTATCAGCAGGGCTGTGGGCAGTCAAATAGAACAGGAGGGCATTGCTATGAGGTAACATGGGCCGAAAGACAAGTAGCAGATGTCTTAGCATGGTACAAGATGAGCATGTTGGAGAATGGCCAGCACCCATGCCAGAAGTGCGGCTCCCTCCTGGTGCAGATATGGGGAAATTACAGCCATGCTGTACTATTCACAGGAGCAAAGTACTAGAATCGGCCTGAATGCCCTTCATAGATATGTATTAACTAGTACCTATAACATCACCTGGGGCATGGAGATATTAATTCGTCTGTCTTAACAACTATTACTCTAAAAGAACAAGGATTCCAAGAGATAAATGTTGATGTCTTTCTTTATCCTTCCTTCCTTCCTCTCTCCTTCCCTCCCTGCTTCCCTCCTTCCCTTCTTTCTTTCCTCCCTTCCTTTCTTTTCGGTGGTCTTGTGGTTTGAACTCAGCACCTCACATTTGCTAGATAGACATTTTATCACTTGAGCCATGCCTCCAGAGAAGCATTTGTTTCTTTTCTATGTAAAGGTCTAAATCTGCAGCTAAGTATAGCAGCTTCATGAGATTCGATGCTGAGGGCTACGGTCCTTTTGGCTTGATGCTCCGCCATCTTCAACAGACGCTTCACCTGGTGATGCAAGCGCTGCTTCCGTTCCAGCCATTAAGTCCTTGTTCCAGCCATCAGGGGAAGGGAGAGAAGAAATTCAGCGCAGTACCTTTCCCTTTAAGAGCACCAATCAGAAGTTGTATGTGTCATTTTTTCACTCCAGTACATTGGCCAGAGCTCACTCTGACTCAACCTAGCTGCAAGGTATGCTGGAAATATTTCCTTTATTCTGATCATGGCTAACAGTCAGGGCTTGCTTTATTAAAAGAGACAGGACAGACACTAGGGGAGAGCTGGCAATCTATTATGCCTGGCTTTAATAGATACTTGTATAGGAAATAAATAATATTACTCATTTTAGTAAATAATTATAGACAAATGACTTGCTACATGAAAATACTAGTGGAAACACTTCAAGATATTGACATGGAATGATTCTCTGACTAGGACTCCAATAGCTCAGGAAATAAGAGCAAGATTGACATATAGGATTACATCAAATTAAAAAGCTCTGCAGAGTTCGGGGTGGGTAACTCATATCTGTAATTCTAGCTACTCTGGAGGCTGAGATCTGAGGATCACAATTCAAAGCCAGCCTGGGTAGGAAAGTCCATGAAACTCTTATCTCCAATTAACCATCAAAAAGCTGGAAGTGGAGCTGTGCCTTCAATGATAGAGTACTAGCCTTGAGAAAAAAAAAAGAAAAAAAAAAAATCTCAGGAACAGTACCCAAGTCCAGAGTTCAAGTCCCAGGACCAGCACATAAACACACACACACACACACACACACACACACACACACACACAGTACAGCAAAAGAAATTATTAAGAGAATGGACAGAGTGAAAGAAAATCTATACCACCTATTCATCTGACAAAGAATTAATATCCAGAATATATGAAGAGTTCAAAAATCAAACACCAAATGCTCAAATTAATAAAAGGGCAAATGAACTGCACAGACAGTTCTCAAAAGAGTATGTTCAACACCTTTAACCATAAAGAAATGCAAACAAGCCAGGCATCAGTGGCTCTCACCTGTAATCCTAGCTACTCAGGAGGCTGAGAACTGAGGATCCAAGTTCTAAGCCAGCCCGGGCAGGAAACTCCATGAGACTCTTATCTCCAAAACACCACTCAGAAAACCAGAAGTGGCACTGTGGCTCAAGTGGTAGAATGTTCATCTTGAGCTGAAGAACTGAGGGATAGCGCCCAGGCTGGGTTCAAGTCCCATGACTGACAAAAAAAAAAAAAAAAAGCAAAAGAAAGAATGAAAGAAATGCAAATAAAAATTGTATTGAGATTCCATTTCACCCCAGTCAAAAAGGAACCTAAGTCAGCATACAGTAGAGATACCTGCACAACCATGTTTATTGTAGCACTACTCACAAGACCCCAGCACAGGGAGAGGGAGAGAGAAGGGGGAAGGGAGAGGAAGAGAGGGGATGGGAGAGGAGGAGAGGGAGAGGGAGAGAGGGAGAGGGAGATGGGGAAGGAACTAAGCTTGGGTCAGAGTGCCAGCTTGGCTCAGGATTGCTGTGTGAGCCCTGCCAGGCCAGGAATGGATTTGAGCCTCAGACTTTCTAATGTCTCCCACACAGGTACAATCTGGCCTGGCCAGTTCTGAAGACCAGGTACCACCTACTCCTTCAAAGCTGTGCGGTAGAGGATGTGGGAATGGTGGCCTGGATCTCTTTCAGAAGACTAAAAAGGAATGAGCACAAAATCTAAAGAAAACTGGAGGAATCTGGTACTTAGAAGTCTAGAAAAGTGTTTCAGCCCAGCGCCAGCAGCTCACCCCTGCAATCCTAGCTACTCAGGAGGCTGAGATCTGAGGATCATGGTTCGAAGACAGCCCAGGCAGGAAAGTCTATGAGACTCTAATTTCCAATAAACTACCTTAAAAGCCAGAAGTGGAGCTGTGGCTCAAGTGGGAGAGTGCCTAGCCTAGAGCAAAAGATGCACAAGGTCAGCACCCAGGCTTTGAGCTCAAGTCTCAGGACCAGAAAAAGAACTCCTTTTGACAAGGTGGTCCCTATGTCATATACTTGCTCAGAATTAATAGGAGGAAAATAAAGGTGCTTCCTTTGGGATTGGCAATATCAGGGATAGCTGGAAACTTTGTTTTTCATCGGTATGGGGGGAGGGTGAGTTTGAACTCAGGGCTTTGTACCTACTTGGCTTGCTTTGCTGTGCAAGTGCCCTACTACTTAAGCTACTCCTCCAGCCCCTTTATTTTGGCGATTGGAGTCTCGTGGACTTTTCTGCCTGACTGACTTTAAACTGTGATCCTTTGGATCTCAATGTCCTGTGTAGCCAGGATTACAGAAGTGAAGCACTGGCTCCCAGCTGATAGTTAGCGGGTGATCTTTACTGAGGAAGTTTAAATGGTCAAATCCAAACTGAGTTAAAACAAATGAGAATTTTTTAATAGCTAAAGAAGTTTTTTCTTTGGAGAATTTCAAAGACATGAGTTATTTTCCAGTAGGGAATGTGGGATTAAGAAACAATTGAAGAGGAGAGGGGCTGGAGCATTTTGTATGATGGAAATGATCTGGTGGGGAGAGGATAATGAGGAGAATAACCACAGAGGAGTTCTTAGGGACAGGAGATGAAATGTACAATGTCGAGGAGTTGACTTCTGGAGAAATCAGGAAGACAGGGCCAGGGACAAGAGAGGAGACAGAACATTTCCAATGGCATCTATTTTCTTGTAAGTTGAGGCAAGGAGGGAGATAGTGACAGAATATTGGAGAAATCTGGAGCTAGTTATTTCAGGAAGTGAAAACAATCAAGCATTTAAAGATTAAATAGACTAGATGCCTGTGGCTCACACCTGTAATCCTAGCTACTCAGGAGGCTGAGATCGGAGGGTCACAGTTCAAAGCCAGGCTAGGCAGGAAAGTCCATGAGACTCTCATCTCCAATTAACCACCAGAAAACTGGAAGTAGCCATGGCTCAAAGTGGTAGAGTGCTAGCCTTGAGCAAAAGAGCTCATGGATAGTGCCCAGATCCTAAATTCAGGCAGAGAGAGAGAGAGAGAGAGAGAGAGAGAGAGAGAGAGAGAGAGAGAGAGAGAGAGAGATTGAGGAGAGAGGGGGAATGAGAAATTATTTTGGCAGTGTTAAGTCATGTTTGAGATGAGGCCCTGAATTTCCAGTGAAGTTAGTGAGGTCTGTTGGCTCATTTTCTCCAAAAACAATCAGCTGTTACATGTGGTCAGCTGGAGAGGGTCAGCTGATGGTTGCATTCTCCATGGTTAGGAATTTGAGATGGATGGTGTTTAGAGTGAACTGGGCATGAAGAATGTCTGTCACAGAAATACTCCATGATATCCAAACTGAAAAGGGCAGGGCAGGAAATAAAGTCAGTGAAAAAATGTGGAAGGAATTGTTTTCTTTTCATTTTAAGCGTGGTTATCTCGGGGCTGGGAAGGTGGCTCAGTGGTAGAGTGCTTGCCTTGCATGCATGAGGCCCTGGGTTCGATTCCTCAGCACCATATAAGAAAAAAGCCAGAAGTGGAGCTGTGGCTCAAGTGATATAGCGCTAGCCTTGAGCTGAAGAGCTGAGGGACAGTGCCTAGGCCCAGAGTTCAGGCCCCACAACCGGACCCAAAAAATAAAAAATAAAAAAATAAGAGTGGTTATCTCTGGGAAGTAAGCATTATTTTACCAGCAGAGACTTTTTTTTTTTTGCCAGTCCTGGAGCTTGAACTCTGGGCCTGGGCACTGTCCCTGAGCTTCTTTGGCTCAAGGCTAGCACTCTACCACTTCAGCCACAGCACCACTTCTGGCTTTTTCTGTTTATGTGGTACTGAGGAATCAAACCCAGGGCTTCATGCATGCTAGGCAAGCACTCTACCACTAAGCCACATTCCCAGCCCCACACTTTTTTTTTTTTTTTTGCTAGTCTTGGGGCTTGAACTTAGGACATGGGCACTGTCCCTGAGCTTCTTTAGCTCAAGGCTAACACTGTACCACTTGAGCCACAATGCCACTTCTGGCTTTTTCTGTTTATGTAGTACTGAGAAATCAAACCCCACAGCTTCATATATGCTACCATTAAGCGACATTCCCAGCCCTGCAGCACCATTATAAAAGGAGAAAATTAAGAAGTGAGTTTAACCTAGATTCAACTCCTATCAGTCAAATACCAAATGTGTAATGGACTCAGTTCTGGGCACTTTCCTGTAATTTCCATGACTCCATTTGTGTAGGCTAGATTCTTATTGAGAGATGAGCAAGTAGAACAGAAAGTGTTACCTGGGTCATGTAACTGACACTTGTGTGATCAAGGGTTTGAA